GGAAGGGTGGCATAACAAAGGAGATTCCAACTAAAGAAAGGGATTCCAGCTAAACACCAGGAAGAACCTTCTGGCGCTAAGAGCTGTTTGACAGTGGACAGCTCTTAGCGCCTGGACAGAAGCGGATTTAGGAGCACGACTGGTTCACCTGCACTGGGCGCTGAGCTGAGAGGACACTGCAACAATGGGGGGGGCACTGAATTTTGGCATTGCTACTGAAATTTGAAAGCCCAAAGTTCACCACTGCACCAGAAGGTGGTGGGTTCTCCTTCACTGGAGTTTTGAAAGCAGTGGTTGGATGGGCATTGGGTGGCCCTTGGGGCCCCTTCCAACTCTTTTAATTCTATGATTCTATACTAATCACATGCTGATGATGATGGATGATGAAGGGCAGCTTGGCAGCAGGCCATGTACGCAGATGTGTGCGGAAGGCGAGAGGGAAGCAGGAGCCTCTTCTTGCCTAAAGTCTGGTTTAGGCCCAGAGCTATGGCTTCCCAAGGAAGGGTGTTTTCTCCTGAAATTATGGATGGCAACAAAGAGCTCACATTGGACTCAAGGCAGAGTGGGATGCATTCCTGGAAAGAGACGTCTCAGAGAAACTTAAGCCCCCTCTGGAGGAGGGGGCAGGTGGAGTGATGGGAAGACTTACTCCAGTCTGGATATTTCTTGTAGTTGCAGAACTCGGCATTATCGGGCAGGGGCTGGGCGTACTGGGCACAGCCGCACTTTTTCACCATCTCATTCTGGAAGCAGGAATGGAGGCAGGTCTGCGAGGGGGAGAAATCAAGCAGGGTGTCTGTCAGTGCCCTCCAGATGTTGTGGACTACAACTCCCATGAGCCCCCAGCCAGCATGGTCATTTTGGACTACAATTTCCATCAGCCCGAACCATTGTGGTTGCTGGTGCAGGCTGCGCAAAACCATGAGGCAGAGGTCCTGGGGCTCCAGGCTGCATGGGTGCACACATGCCTCACCTGCAAAGAGTAGGTTTTGTTCTTGTATAGCTTCTTCACATTGACGTCAGACCCGTCCTCTTTGCAGTTGCTGTATGGATAGCCGAGTCTTTTGGACTTTGTCTGTGGGTCAGAAAGGAAGAACTCTGTTGGTGTGAGCCTGCCAAGGTGGGGTGTGTGATGGGAGAGGGGTGTGTGGGGCAGGGAAGAGGCAACCTGGGTTACGCTTGTGCTTCTTCCTTTAACCCAGAGGTGTGGGTGCTGGAAAGGCACTTTGCACAAGCTCAGGTGCACTCTATTGTGTGCTATCAGGATTTTCTATCCCAAGAGGCCAAAGCCAGGCCTGGCATCCCAAAGTAGGTTTGGCAGGATTTACATCCTGAAAGATCGGTAATAAATTAAAAAAATACTTGGCAATGGCCAGGATTGAAGCAGATGTTGTACCTCTGAAGTATGGATGAACTCCCTCATAAGACCTGACAATGTCTTATGTATATCTAATATTTCATTGGGTAGACACTTCATAGTTCCACTTTCTGGGGTGGAGTGAACATCTGTGGTCCTCCAGGGTATTGCTGGACTCCAGCCCCCATCATTGGCCATGCAAGTTCAGATCTTTTTTTCCTTTTAATTGCAGCCCTGACCCTTAGTCACAGCCACACAGGACAAAGAACATGGCAAAGAAAGTCTCCTCCAAAACGGCCTCCAGCCAGAGCAGAGCTTTCCAAAGTGTGTGTTGCGACACATTAGTACATCAGCTCAGTGTGTAGGTGTGTCACACTACAGTGGTATCTCGGGTTAAAGACGCTTCAGGTTACAGACGCTTCAGGTTACAGACTCCGCTAACCCAGAAATAGTACCTCGGGTTAAGAACTTTGCTTCAGGATGAGAACAGAAATTGTGCCCCCACGGCGCAGCGGCAGCAGGAGGCCCCATTAGCTAAAGTGGTGCCTCAGGTTAAGAACGGTTTCAGGTTAAGAACGGACCTCCAGAACAAATTAAGTTCTTAACCTGAGGTACCACTGTATTACAATTTATGTATGTGTCCGTATCACTTATAAGGGGTTAGTTTAGCCTCCTGGTTTGCTAATAAAACTGCACTACTGTGTCGTGAAATGATGCATGTCTAAAAAGCATGCCACCAACATGAAAAGTTTGGAAAAGCTCTGAGCACTGGGCAAGCCGTATGTTGGGAGGGGGGTTTCCTGCACACCCGAGAGCAGAAATCTGCCCAGGGTTCTGCTCCAGCAGCACCACTCACAAAGTGCATCCCGATGGAGGTGGCTGTGGCCGTCTCTATCTCAGTGCCGGACGTCTTCGATGAAGGGATATTCATCCTGGCCGTGAATCACTATCTTCGCTCCCGTAGACGTCACCAAGAAAGGGTTGTACTCTGCTTCGTTTATATACAGGATCACCTGCAGCCCTGTGTAAAGGAAGGAGCACAGGATTAGGCCAGTTTAGTGGAAGGTACGGGACCAAGAGAGGCTCTGGAGGAAGAGGAGGAGAAGGCCCTGTGAGGACAGGGGCCAAAAAAAGTCAGGGCACACGGGATGAGACTTGCCAGCTAAACTATTGCGTCTCCCGTTCTCTCCTTTGCTTCTCTGCGCAGCACCTGAAGCAGCTAACAAAACAAGCTAATGCATGGTTTTTTTTAAAAAAAAATTGCAGCGAAAATTTAGCCAAACCAAAATGTAAAAATCCATGCAGGCAGACAGATCAGTCTGCTGAGTTTGGGCAAAGCCAGGCAATTACTTGGCAGTGCAAAACGGTGGTCAGCCGCAAACCTGGGTATATTAGATTTCTGCGTTGCTTTCCACTACAAAAGTCCCGAAGCAATTCATAATCGAAATCTTTAAACAATAAAAAAATAAAATCATGCAAATGTTAATAAATACAGATCTGACAGTAGAATCGTATCAGTGTTGCTGCCCCAACTCCTCGCAAAAATTAAAGCACATTTGGAACCAATGATAGCAGGTTTGGCCCCCAGCGAGCCTCCCTGAAGGAGCATTCCATAGACAGCGAACTACAGCAGAGAGGGCCCCATTCTCTCAGCAACACCCTCCGAAACTCCTCGGAGGTGGCACGTGTTGATGTCCAGGTCCGGGCAGATTACCAGGGGGAAATGAGGTCCTTTACAAGCCAGAAGGTCTCAGCTAAAGTGGCAGCGACTGGTACAGGGAAATCCCTAATGTGTATTTGCTTGCAAAACTGTGAACTTAAGCCCCTCAAGAGCAGTGCTTTTTTCTGGGGGGGCAGGAATGTAGGGGTACACAATAACAGATTCACACCAGTCCACTAGGGACCAGCTACCCAGACAAGCAATATTTCAAATGTCAAATCTTAATGGTGGAAAAGAGGCTTGCATGCAAGATTCAGGTCAGGTAAGACTATCCATGGAGGGGAGGCAGGGGGCAGGGTGGGAGGAGGAGCAGCTGGACGCAGCTGGGACTTTGTAGGCTTCTCTTAGTTAGCTAGTTAGGTTTTTCCCCTATAAAATTTATCCACTGCTTGGTTGTAAAACACACACACACACACACTCCTCAAAGCAGTTTGCAAAGAGGAAAATACAATAAAGTTATCACTAAAAGCAACTCTTGGCAACATTTGAAAGAGAAAACAGCAATAAACTAAAACAGATTAAAACGTACATCCACATTCTACATGCCTGGGTAGGCTTGCCTAAACAAAACTGGTTTTAGCAGGTGCCAACGAGAGTAGAGTGAAGGCTGACTGATCTCAATAGGCAGGGAGTTTCCAGAGTGTAGGTGCTGCCACAAGGAAAGGCTGATTTCTTGCAAATGTGGAGTGGGTGTTAGGTGGCATCTGTAAGAGGATCAGTTCTGCTAGTTGAAGTGATCGAGTGGACATGTTCTCTTAGCACTCTGCATAGAGGCTACAGAGCTCAGGACAAGAATCTAGGCCCACCCACACCTACTCACAACTGAGATCAAGCAGGCAAACTGTCTGGAGGGCTCCCTTACCATATTCACTGCCTCCGGTGGTTGTGTTCAGGATGCTTCCGTTCTGCCCACTGTTGAAGGTATAGCAGTTCCCATGCATCGGATGGTGGAATGTCGTGAAGTTCCTGGCACCGACCAAAGACATATTTATTTTTCAAAAGCACTTCACCCCACCTACTGTAGATAAACTCAACAAAAGAGCTTAAATTGCCCAATTAACATGAACTGCATTAGAAATGAACTGTTTATGCAGGGACTTTTGTTTAGCTTCCCAACAGACAAGGACAAAAGAGTTTTGAAATTATTTGGGTGGTGCCCAACTCTTAAAAAATGTCATGGGGAGTGGGAGGCAGCAAAGAGGGATCTTTCTGGGGGGAGGTGTGGAGGGTGTCGACACAAGAACAGCCCCTCTCAGCGATGGCTCCACAGGGAAGAATGCCTGGCACCATCAACTTAACCCTGGGGCCAGGCAAAAAAACGTTTCTATTCTGCTAGACCTCTGGGTTTTCATTATCTGTGGCCTCCTTCAGTGGGTGGGATGTTTCAGTCCTGCCTTTTAAAAATATGAATGAGTTTTAGGTTTCCATTTTTATGCTGATTTTAGAATCATATAATCGTAGAGCTGGAAGGATCTCCCAAGGGACATCTAGTCCAACCCTCTGCAATGGAGGAATCACAACAAAGGAATCCCTGACATAATGTACTGGTATGTGTTATTTATTTCTGTTGCTGTTCTAAGTCACTTTGAGTTATTCTGTTAAAAAAAAGAGAAACTAATAAGTTTAATGAGTAACAACAACAACAACAACATCTTAAGGGTATATGGTCCCCACTGAGAACATCTGGCGAGCACCAGATTGGGGAAGGATGGGTTAATGCAACAAGTGGCTAAGCAGGAATGGTGGGTTGAGCCGAGTGACGACTAGGCTTCCGCTTGCAATGGCAAGATCTTTGGCATGACTCACCACTACCCAGTTGGGAACCTGAACAGGCCTGTTCTCCCCACAGATTGATGGGGAAACAGATGCTTTGGGGAGGCAGATCCCAGAGGGTGGGCTGTAAGGCTGCCACCTGGAAACTACAAGGCAGACCAGGTGGGTTGCCATGCAGAAACATCTATATCTGCAGTCCTAAGCTCATGGGTGAGACCACATTTTGGACACTGCTGCAGAAAGGGCTTGTGGCTTCTGAACTGTACTGCCTCAGAGGTTCACCAGCAAAAGAACTCAGCTAAAACCTGCTCCAGCCACCGACCTGCACAAACCGTGAAGGCTTGAAAGGTGGTCCTTAAAAAGACACACATGAGGCCAGAGAGCTCTGCATTCAACACCTGTCCAGCTGCACAAGGCCAATTTGGTGCGTATCTCACTTCTGTCTGGCCTCGCCAAGGATGCTAGAGAAAAGCCCCTATTAAACTTCCCATATCTAAAGCACTTTTAATTTGCAATAGATATGTTCCACCTCCGCTGCTGGAGCATGCTCTGCCCCCCGCTCTGTTCCCAGTGACTGACCTGGCGTCGCAGGAACGGCCGTCAAAGAAGCAGCTCAAGATGAGCTCCTCTGCCGAGTAGCTCATGTTCACTTTCTCTTCAGCACTGATTTGGGCCATGATGTTCATGTAATGCAGCTTGTACCACTCCTGGATGGCGTTGACACCCGAACTGAAGGTGTAAAGGGCACAGTCACTCTTGTTGTGGGAGTCACACTGGAAGGAAGAGAAAGCAGGGGCTCAGGCAAGCAGGCAGGCCGAGGGGCTGCCCCACAGATGCATACGCTGCCTTGCAGTGTGGAAATAGGTAGGTGGCTCAGCACAGAATAGCGTGGTGCAGTGGTTAAAGTGTTGGCCTAGGACCCGGGAGACCAGGGTTCAAATCCTGACACTCAGCCATGAAGCTCACTAGGTGCGACCATGGGCCAGTCACTGCCTCTCGGCCTAATCTGCCTCCCAGGTTTGTTCTGGGCATTAAATGAGGAGGGGGAGAACCACGTACACTTTGGACAAAAAGGGTGGGATAGCAATGCAACAAATAAAATGACAATAGTCATTCAGAAAGAGAGAGAAGGCATGAGCACAATCCTCAGATGCCTGGACCCAGAAAGAAAATCTCTCTGATCCAGCCTTGGAACTGCAGGTGACTCGTAACTCTGCAGGCAAGACATATTCAACTGTGAGACAGGAGGGACACCTTGTCGTATTTGTTTGTTGAGCTAATTAATGTGTATACAGTATTTATATTTGGTTTTGGTGTCCTCGGGTGTCTTCCCGTGTAAAAGTTGGGGTGTCTAGGCGACGTTTCGACGAGGTCTCACTCGTCATCTTCAGGCTGGTGCTTTCGGCTTCTTGTTACTGGAGCAAAGCAGGATCTCAGTGTTTGAGTTCCTATAAATACTGTTGAGGAGGTGTGGTGTATAGCCTCCAATGTTCTGGGCAGAGAGGAAGTTCCCAGGCTAGTGTGCCTTTTCTTCTTTTGTTCCTTAATTACTGGAGGGATATCTGGAGTGATTTCTTGAGTGATATCCTGAGTACCACTTGGGTGGGTCATTAGGTGTGGATTAGTTGCTAAAGTTTGCAGTAGGATTTATAACCTGCTTTCTGCCTCAATTGGAGATGCCCAAAGTGGAGAACAACCAAGGTTGCCTGGCAGGGGCTTCCGCTGAGCAGGGGCTACAACAGAAAAGCCCCCAACTCACTCCAGGCTGCTGCCAGCCACATTTCAGGAGGCAAGTGGCACCTTTTCCTATGGTGAAGTTCTGGGCACGATCCAAGGTGCAGGTCTGAGCCTGCGAAGGGCACTTGTTGAGCTCACAAGCCTGTCCACTGCCCTCCAGATGGACTACATCTCCTAGCAGCCCCAGCACCACATGGCCGCTTCATGCTGGGACTGATGGGAGCTGTAGTCCAAAACCTCTGGAGGGCACTGGGTTGAGGAAGGCTGTGGCCATGGGGATGGAAAATGATTCGGAAGAAGCCCCAAAGGTGCTGCATGGGCCTCCCCATCTCCTAGAGTTCCCTCCTGCCTGTGCCAAGCCCGCCGGCCCCAAATGTAAGGCTGTCACCCGACTCAACAGAGCTGCATCTGGTTCTCCCATAGGCCACAGAGCAAGGCGACTCACCAGCTGGAATCCCACAATATCCTGGGGGTTCTTGACGCTGACGATGCTGGAGCCGCCTGAAATGATGTTGGCCTCCATGCGCCGTTTGGAACCAGAGGAGGGATTTGGAAAAGGCTGCTGGTGAGTGAGGTTGTCTAAATTCATCAAGGGAAAGTATCTGTGGAATCTTCTGTCCTCACTTGGCTCAGGATCACCAGCATCACGACGCTCCCTGATATTACTTCCAGAAAAGTCATACAAGGATCTCAGAGCGTTCTCTGTCTCTTTGTCCAGCTCGGCCAGGTGTTTCTTGATGGCACTGTACCTACCGGGAGACAGACAGGGGATCTTGTTGCTACAGGGGGCAAGATCTTTTGCTACCAGGAGAGCGGGGAGGCCTGTTAAAATCAGATAGCCAGGATCTGGGTGCATCCACTCAGCCCAGCACTGGGCTCAAGGACCAAGACTGACACACAATTATTTTAAATCAGATTTGTGCTTCAAAGTGGGAAGGATAAACAGCTGCCACTCATCACTCAACAATCCAAAGATCTTCCTGCACTTTTGACACTAGGAAATATGTCTTATAATCACCCGCCTTGCTTGGATATCTATTTGGGCATAAGATCTGCTTATATCAATAGGTATGTTTAAACTGGATTGTGCTTACTGTGACAACCCAACAAACAAGAACATAAACACCACTTTTCGATGAATGTAAAATCACGCCACCCACTCCCATAGTCCAGCAGCAAGATAACACAAGCCCCCTAGGGATCAGGTTCACAAGCCGGACATTTAACAGTAGCCTACTTTGCAGGGTCATTGTCAATATTTCTGGGGCGATTAACATTCGTTACTATTTTATTGTACAAGTCCCTCAGGGCATGATCCTATGCAATGCAAATTGCAATGGAAATGTTATTATTATTCAAAACTCTCAGAGCGTCTCACAAACCACAAGACACAAAATACATGACATTCCACCATGGCAATTCTCAAACAAGTCCAAAGAGAATGTTAACAAAAATACAACTGCAACCGCCACACTCGTGTCACAGGTTTGCAGGGCAACATTTTCTACTTTGGGCATTTTCAAGAGAAGGAAGAATCCCTCCTAAAAGATGATTTTACTTGTTTCCCCAAAGAGGCCGGAGAGGCCTCCCTATGCAGGGAGTTCCACAGGTGAGGGCTGCACACTCAGCAGGGCTGCTTTAGGGGATCTTAAAGACCAGGGCAGGGAACTGTGAATTGGAGCTCTCTGAGCGCTCCAAATAATAATTAAATGCTGCTGTTATAAGTTGCCATTATTTATTCCACCCAAGGCGTCACCTCCCTGACTCCACATTCCAAGTTCTTGAGCAGGACTGTGCTGAAAGCAGCCTGGCCTGATCCTGACCCTTCGCTGTCCCTGTCCACTGGCAGGCTTGGGGGAGCTTTCCTGGATGCTGAGCCTCACTTACTTGTAGGGGTTGATGTTACAGATGGTGACGGCTGGGAAGGGGAGTGCGTGGAACTGGACCGTGACAGAGACAGAGGCTTTGTAGTAGTTGAGGACCAGCTGAGTGCAGTACCACAGGATCAGTCCCACGGCGGTCAGCGTGAGCAGGATCCACAGGAAGCGGCGCAGGCGCCCCCGCGAGACCACGATGCGCCGACAGCCGTGGGTGTTGGTGTTCATGCAGTACCAGTGCATCAGCTCCCGCAAGGTGGGCGCCTGGGGGCCGGTCACGGGCAATGTCTTCTTGAGCTTGGCCTTGATCTTCTTGGCAGGCGCCATGCTAATGGCCGACACTTTGGAGGGGGAAACACAAAGCAAAAAGCAAGGATATTGCAGGCACTGGATATTGTAGAGCAGTGTTAGAAACTCAGATATATAAGCTAGGCACCCAGTGGCTCCTTAAACCAAGGTTGGAGTCGCCAAAACGGAACGTCTAGTTGCCATTTGAGGGCAAGATGGCTCTAAAGTCTTCTTTTTCAGATGATGGACTGACTGTGATTCTCAGTTAAACATATTTCAAGTTCAGATGGCAACCTTGGGCTAGGTTAAGAGCTTAGAGAACTTAAAAGAAGAAAAGTGACTTGAAACCGGGAAAGCCCACATATATATTGGCCTATTTCAACCTCTTTTTCTTTAATGGTGTCTGTTCTGGCTCAGGCTGCACAGAAAAAGCATTTTGGTTCCAGAAACGCATTTCAATTGTGCAGATAAAATATAACTGATAGAATCCTCAGGATCGGGTATTGGTGTGTGTAAACAACCCAGATCCAATGATCTCCAGATGGTGGAGATGTCAGGTGCTATCCTGGCGCCCAGGCATCTTCACTTGGTTGCAAGTGGTTGAAAGCCAGGTGCAAAAACACTGTTGTAGAGCAGGGATGTCCAACAGGTCAATCGCAATCTACTGGTAGATCCCCAGGAGGTTTTGGTAGATTGCGGCTGATCTCTGGTTCCCTTTCCTTAGGGTCACTAAAACTGACTCCTGCCCTGCCCTCCATTGTTATTTGACCTCTAGAAGGGAAGAAGGAGCTTTCTCTGTGCTGCTGTTTTCATCCATAGCAATCTTTTTGTGAGTGACTTTACCCCTTTGTCCCTTGCCTTTAATCCACCCCCATGGAAGTTCCCCTCCCCAAAAAGCTATTTTTAACTCCTAAAAAAGCTCAACAACTTTGAGCTGAATCCCCCCCAAAACGGGGGTAGATCACTGCCAGTTTTCAATTCTGAAAGTAGATTGCAGTCTCTTGAGAGCTGGGCACCCCTGTTGTAGAGGATATTGTACGGTTGGAAAAGGTTCAGAAGAGGGCAAACAGAAAGATCAAGGGGATGGAGCAACTCTTCCTGTGATGGAAGGTTGCAGCGTTAGGGACTTTTTCATTCAGAGAAAAGGTGAGTCAGAGGTGAATTACAGAATTGCAGAGCTGTAAGGATCATCTAGCCCAGGAATAAGTTGCCCCATACAGGGATTGAACCTGCAACCTTGGCGTTATCAGTCCCATGCTCTAACCAACTGAGCTATCCAGACCAGAGGTTTATAAAATTGCACATAGCGTTGAGACAGTCATCACACTAGAACTTGTGCACACCCAGTGAAGATGAACATTGGAAGACTCAGAACAGAACAGACAAAAGGAAGTCATTCTTCCAGCAGCACATAGCTAAGCTGTGGAACTCACTTCCACAGGAGGCAGTGATGGCCACCAACCTAGGCAGCTTTAAAAGAGGATTGGGCTAATTCGTGAAGGAGAGGGCTGTCAGTGCTACTGGCCATGATGCCAATATCCTGCCCCCATGTTGGAAGGCTGTAATACTTCTGAATACCAGTTGCTGGAAACCACAGGAGGAGAGAGGGCTCTTGTGTTCAGGTCCTGCTTGAGCCTTTCCCATAACGAGCTTCTGGTTGGCCGCAGGAAGAAGAGGATGCTGCACCAGAAGGCCCCCTTTGGCCTGACCCAGCAGGCTCTTTTGACGTTCTCATGGCAGGCTTAATCACAAAACCTCTGTTGCACATCTAAAACCAGCCACAAACCTGTTTAAACTGTCAGAGGCCCCAGCTGAGCCACAGATACCCGTTGAGCCTTTAATAATACAAACACAGTGTCACCAGGGACCTCAGAGGACATCTAGGCCAACCCTTTGCCAATGCTGGCACTCCACTGCTGTAGCCTCCCTGAAAGGGGTCTCCCCCCCCGCCCCTTCTGACATTTGCTGGCCCCTTCTTCCTACTCCTAGAGCTGTTTTATTCTTAAAACCACAGCCTTGCATTTGTGCTGTGTGTTCAGTACACCAAGACCAACCTCTGAGATGGGGAGGGGACCAAATAAAGACAAATATTCCTCTTCCCATGGTAAGACTCAGGCCTGGCCTGACTTTTATATTGCTGTATACCACCCTGGTAATTTTAGCAGAGGGAGGTCTATAAAAATACTCTTGGTAAATAAATAAAGTAAGAGCCAGGCCACTCCCCCTGTTAAAAGCCATAGGGAACAATCATCACAATGACTGGCTACTTGAGAACATTTCCTAGAACTGCGTAGGTCAGTTGGCATTGAATTAAAAAAAATAAATCCAAGAGTTGACTGAAAGTGAAAGGGGAGGAGGACCTCTGCTGAATCTCCACTGAGCGTTTGTTTGCACAGGATGGGGCTGGTGGCACATTGAATGCCCAATGTCTGGCTGAGACCAACCAGGCCTCTCCCTCCCTCTCTCTCTCTCTTGTGTGTAGGTGTGTGCTTTATCCTCACAACAACCCTGTGAGGTGGACTAGATGGAGAGGCAGTGACTGGCCCAAGCTCACCCAGTGAGATTCATGACAGAGTGAGGATTTGAACCCTGGTCTCCCAGGTCCCCAGTCCGACACGCTAACCATTGCACCACACTGCACCTGTTTACTCTGCATCCCACGTACACCTACTGCTGGTTTGGAAAGTGGTTTACACACAACACTAGTCATATGCCATACCAATCCTGCCGTTTCTTATAAAATACTGCAACCTGATGCATTTCCCCTGAAACCAACTTCCATCTGAACAGAGGAAAAATCCCTGCATAACTGTGTTTTAAGCTAACAATTTATGCTAAAACAATTTATGTTTTCAGTGAGTTGAGGATTGTGTATGCCACAAGACAAGGAGATCCTCCAGTTGCCGTCTTGGTCCCAAAATACAGGTGGCCAAGGGTATTTATATATTTATTTCATAAAATTTATATGCCGCTCGGAAATCCTCAAAGCAGCTTACAAAGAGTACCGTATATAAAAGGGTATGTGGCAGGCTTAGATAGAGGAGTTGCTACAGTTTGAAGAATTTTGTGAAACTCTGAGGCTTGCATCTCCCTATACTGTAGCTATGGGTGGCTGTTCAGCCAGAGGATATCTGTTTTGTTTTGATTCCTGAAATGGGTTCTCTCAGTAGCAAACACCTGCTTCCCATCAACACCTTTCTAGCCTGGGAATGGAAAGCCGTCTTTAAGATGCACGCACCTCTGGGCATTCCAGTGGTTCCAGGGGACCTTTTCCCACCCAGGGATTACCTTAGAGGCCAGAGGCTTCTCTGCTGATGGTACACAGTTCAGGGCAGCCCCTGCCAGCCAACCCCCAATACGCAAAGGGACCTGCCCCCCAGCTGGGAATCTCACTTTAGCCCTAGAGAGAGCCAGCATGGCACAGTGGTTAGTGCTGGGCTAGGACTTGTGAGAGAGCTTCACTGGGGGCCAGTCACTGCCTCTCAGCCTAACCTACTTCACAGGGTTGTTGCGGGGATTAAATGAGGAGGGGGATGCTGCATTGAGGTCCTGGGAGAAAAAGGTGGCATATAAATGAAACAGATACATAAGAATAAAAGGTGGAACAACCTTCCTTCCTCTCTCCTCCCTGATTTCCAATCACCAGAAAAAAAAGGGAAGGAAATTTCATGGGAAATCAAAGAGCATTGCTGTTATATCCCTCATACAACCCCATCTTCCTGTGACACCATCAGGAAGAAATGGTGCCACCTGGGATGTAAGGAAGTCTTCTGAGCGATGGAGGAGGAAGACAGAAAGCCCCCTTCGACTGAGTCATTTGAGCTCAGCACTGTCAACACTGACTGGCAGGAGCTCTCCAGGATTTCAGACAAGAGTCTAGTCTGTGCTTGGAGATGTCAGGGGGCCTGGAGACAAGACAGTAGCTCCAACTGTGGCAGATGAAACACTGGGGAGACTCCCTCTTCTCCCTGGGGAGGTCCCCCATCCCCCTCCATCCACCCCTTGGAGAAGGCAGACGTCTGCCCTGGGAGAGCCTCACTGCAGAGGAGTAAGAACACCAGAAGAGCCCTGCAGTGCTGGATCAGGCCAAAGGGGGCCCATCTGGTCCAGCCTCCTGGTCTCTTCTGTGCCTCTTCTGTGAAACCCTCAAGCAGGACCTGAGCGTAAGAGCAGCACTGCACCCCTCCTGTGGTGTTAAGCAACCGGTATTCGGAATAAATATATAAGCAAATTATAGAATCATAGAGTTGGAAGAGACCCAGGGGTCATCTAGTCCAACCCCCTGCAATGCAGGAAACTCAGCTGTGGCATCCATGACAGATGGCCATCCAACCTCTGCTTAACAACCTCCAAGGAAGGAGAGTCCACAACCTCCCGAGGGAGACTGTTTCACAGTCGAACAGCTCTTACTGTCAAAAGTTTTTTCCGTATGTTTAGTCGGAATCTCCTTTATTGAAGCCATTGGTTCCAGATCTACCCTCCAGAGCAGGAGAAAACAAGCTTTCGCTTGCAAAAGAGGGCTCGATAGAAGCCATCGATAGCCTTCCCCTCCATATATTAGCTCAATTTTCTTTTAATGCCACGCCACCCAAAACAGGGGCACTCGCTGCCTCCTGCGGCAGCGAGTTCCATAGTTTAAGTCCTTACTTCTGCCTGTCCTAAATCTCCCCACAACCCTCCGGTCGAGGCTGGCTCCCCGCCCCCATTTGGACCCTCGAAGGTGGGCGCGCCTCCAGTCTCCCTCCCAACCCAGGCAACTGCACTTCCCAGCTTCCAGAAGCGCCCCAGAGAGCAGACCTCATCTCCGCCGCGTCTCACCTGCGGGGCCGCGGTTGACGCCGAGAGCCGGCTGGGGCTGCATGGCGAGGCTGGCGAGGGCGCAGCTCCTACTGCGGGATGCCGCGGCTGGCTCTGCTCTGCCCCGGCCGCCCCAGCCCGCCCCCGGCCGGCCGCCACGCCTTCGCCAGGCTCGGGTTGCAATACGCGCTCGCCGCCCCGCGAGCTCGAGGCGCCCCCTGCAGGTTATTCGCCGCCCTGCCGTGCCACTCGCCTGCCGCTCCCTGCCCTGCAGCGGCCCCTGCCGGCAGCAAGCGTAGGAGCAGGCGGGCGTAACCCTGGTCCAGCAGTGGAACAGAAAGAAAGGATTATGGTGTTTGTTTGTTTGTTTGTTTGTTTGTTTGTTTGTTTGTTTGTTTGTTTGAAAGAAGGAAAGAAAGATAGTCTTGATCCATATCGTCAAAGTGGAGCAGCAGCTTTATATTATGCTGCACTGATTTGCTTCATGGTTATGTAGTTATTTAAAATACTTTTAGCCCTTTCTTAAGGGTGGAACCTCACCCCAGGGGATGTTACATAGTTTGAAACTATATAATACAACTGCAGATATATATCAGTAAGAAAAGCCAAAAGAATGCAAGGAAACATCCACCCTCCTTGAAAAAGACAGTCCAGTACATAACTACAGCCAAAGCCAATCAACACTTGAAAAGAAGATCAAACTCAGGAAAAAGCCAGTGAAAAGAAGGGAGTCTTTACCACCCCTGCCAGCCTGGTGCCCTCCAGCTGTTTTGGTCTACAACTCCTATTAGCCCCTTGAAGCAACATGGTCCCCTGTCTCCCTCCTGCCTAACCTATATGCTCTCAGAGATGGGCAAGTGAGGCAAGGTAGAGGTGAGATGGACCTTTGAATAATTTGGTCCAAACCATTTAAGGTTTCAAAGGTCAAAAGCATCACTTCAGAGTAGACCAAGAAAATTGTCAGAAGAAGAAACAAACATTTTTCATCCCATAAATATTCTGGGTTTGGGGTTTATTCCTGTCCCTTGCTTTTGTTGCAGGATAGTGCAGAAGTTGGCAATACAGTAATGGCAATAATATGGTAACATTGGGGAAAGCAAATTATAAAGCAGAATGGAGGATCTAGTATAAACCACCAGTAATGTGCTTACATTGATTATATCAATGATGTGTCACAAAATACTCCCCTGCCCCCACAAAAGAGTCTGGAGCAGGGGTAGGCAACCTAAGGCCCAGGGGCTGGATGCAGCCCAATCGCCTTCTAAATCTGGCCTGCAGATGGTCCGGGAATCAGCGTGTTTTTATATGAGTAGAATGTGTCCTTTTATTTAAAATGCATCTCTGGGTTATTTGTGGGGCATAGGAATTTGTTCATCTACCCCCCCCAAAAAAAGTCTGGCCCACCACATGGTCTGAGGGACGGTGGACCGGCCCATGGCTGAAAAAGGTTGCTGACCCATGGGTCTGGAGAGACCCATAGAAAACTGACTTGGGGTTTGTAAGCAAACTGTATTTGAGTGGGCTGGCTGTTTCCCTGCATCAATCCAATGTGGGAGCAGAGGACCTTAGGCACTTCAAAACTCCAGCTATGCTCAACTTGTAGACAAATTCAAATATTACAAAACATCACAAATCTCTTGTGACCTCCTTCTAAAGGCAACCAAGCACAGGAAACCACTGATTCCATGGAACATGCCACCAAACAAGCAGGAGTGAGCATAGCCATTGGACATTTAGAATGGAAAGATAGATGAGGAGAGCGTGGGAATTTCCCATCCAAATGAGTCCATAAGTAGTCCATAAACAAGGGGAATATGGGATTTCTTTACCTATGTGAATACTCAGCAGGGATTGTTCTCAATCCTACAGTTTTGGAACTATATAATTAGAGATATATTTGATGGTGAGGCGTTTCTACAATGAGGCAGAGAAGAAAAACAAGGGCCCCCCTCTTTTGGCTGAAGAAGGTGGTAAAAATGTTCCAAATAAATGATTCAGCGCAGTGTGTCATTAATATTTTCTCTCAGCCTACAATAACTGTGGTTGTATGAGGTATGGTGAATGCTGACATTCACATGAAGGTTAACAGCCCTCAGGCAAATGCTGGGAATGTCTGCAAACTCTGAAATGCTGGCGATTGTTTGAAAAACATAGGATTGAATAATGAATTGTGTGTGTGTGTGTGTGTGTGTGTGTGAGAGAGAGAGAGAGAGAGAGAGAGAGAGAGAGCGCCATTCACAAAACCTATCTTGGACTGTTAGTTTTTAAGTGCTACAAGACTCTTTATTGTTTTTGTTGCAACAGACTAGCACAGCTGCTCTTCTGAAATGTGAATTTAACATTTGCTATGTTTGAGGCTTTCAGTTTAACATATGCAGATACCACTGGAGGGTGGTTCATTAGGGTGAGCCTTGGTCTGCCCTGCCCAGCCCTACCTTCCTGCCTTCTTACAACCAGTCCAGAGGGTAGCGATGCCTATCAAGTTCCTCCTCTGTAGCCGCAGTTCTGCCCTTGTAGAACTCAGCAGTTCTACACTGAACTCAATCATTGGCTCTGGCTCCCCCTACTGTTGACCTCCTTCCTTAAACTCTACCAGACTCTGTGAACAACAGCCACCCACTGACTGATACATAAATATATGTGATAACTTCAGCAGTGCCACCCAGCCACATAACACACTGTAAAGCAGTGGGAGTCTGATCACTCCCAAATCATCTGCTTCTTGTTTTTAATAGATCCCATGTGGTTCATCGATGCTTTTACAGTTGCAAAGCAGGAGGAGGGCACATTCAAGATCTGTAAAGACTGAAGGCATAACTGAGGTCGGGTGAAGCTGCAGCTTGTCTTCATACCCTTGCAGCAGCCTCTGCTGAAGATGCCAAACCTTATCTCCAAAACAGCAGCGCATCACAGGAACACATCAGACAACCTTCAAGCAGTAAAGCAGAGCTTTCCAAACTTCTCATGTTGGTGACACGCTTTTTAGACGTGCATCATTTTGCGACACAGCCATTCAGTTTTACTAGCAAACCAAAGGTTAAATGAACCTCTTTCCAGCCCCGGGAGGAGCGCGGGGAGCATTCGCACAACACACCTACACACTGCCGGCGACACACTAACGTGTAGCGACACACAAAGCTCTGCAGTAAAGGAAGTGTTGCTCCATAGGGAAGAACTAGGAGCACTGATGTTGCTGGAGTAAGCGATGCTGCAAATGTGTGTGCGTGTGCGGGGGGATTGCTGTGTTCGCTGGTAGAGGCTGGTCCAAGACATTTTGTTGCCGGAGGCAAAGGGCAAGATGGCACCTCCCTCCCAAGTTCAGAAGGTAACTGGATTGAGATGGGACTTGAACTCAACACTGGCAACAGGATAGCAGCATACCTGAAGGCTGCTGGCCAATTTAGGGGGGTGCAGGACAGGCCCTGTAGCACACCTGCTTTTGCTCTCCAACAAAAGCAGTGGTTGCACCCGCCTTGCTCAGGGAAAGCTCCCTGGGCAAGGGCAGGTGTAGCAATCTAGTATGACAGCAACAATCACAGAGAACAATGGCTCTTAAAGTGAACCACTCAGTGGGATCAGGTGTTAAACAGGGTTGTGTTATTGCCCCAACTCTATTCATTATTTTCATTCCATGATCCTACGCTTTGTCGAAGGGAAACTCCCCACCGCAGTAGAAATCATATATTGAACAGATGGAAAGCTCTTCAGTCTGAGCAGGCTGAAAGCAAAGAGTAAGGTTACTGTAACTTCCGTCATAGAGCTTCAGTATGCTGATGACAATGTAGTGTGTGCACGCTCAGAGGATGACCTCCAAACCATCCTAAATATCTTTGCAGAAGCCTACTAAAAGCTTCGCCTATCACTCAACATCCAAAAAACCAAAGTGCTGCACCAACAAGTACAAAATAACCCCTCTGCAGCGCCACAAATATAACTCGATGGTGTAACGTTGGAAAATGTCAATCACTTCTCCTACCTAGGCAGTTATCTTTCCACAAGGGCCAACATTGATGCCGAAATCCACCATCGCCTGAGCTCTGCGAGTGCAACTTTCTCCCGATTGAAGTGCAGAGTGTTTGAGGACTGGGACATTCACAAAGCTTTGTTTACAAAGCTATTGTACTGCCAACCTTACTATATGCTTGTGAAACATGGACCACTTATAAACGCCATCTCCAACTCCTCGAAAGATTCCATCAATGGTGTCTCTGAAAAATTTTACACGTCACTTGGGAAGACAGGCAAACTAATATCAGCGTACTAGAAGAAGAAAAGTGCTGAAGCAATGATTCTTCAACATCAACTTTGTTGGACTGGTCATGTTTTGTGGATGCCTGATGATCATCTTCGAAAGCAACTACGCTATTCCGAACTTAAAAATGGAAAGCGTAATGTTGGTGGTCAACAAAAGAGGTTTAAAGACTGTCTCAAGGCAAATCTTAAAAAATGTAGTATAAACACTGACAACTGGGAAACACTGGCCTGCGAGCACTCTAATTGGAGAACAGCCTTTACCAAAGGTGTCATGGGCTTTGAAGACACTCAAACTCAGGATGCAAGGGAGAAACGTGCTAAGAGGAAGGCACGCTTTGCAAATCCTCACCTTGTTCAACTCCCTACTGGAAACCAATGTCCCCACTGTCGAAGGACGTGTGGAACCTGAATTGGCCTCCACAGTCACTTACGGACTCATTGTTAAAACCGTGTTTATGGAAGACAATCTTATTCGGCTACGAGTGGTCACCAAAGAGAAGAGAGATAGAATGTTTGCATGTTAGCTACTTTATTTATTTACGGCCACGATAATTCCGTCTCTGTGGAGAAAAGGCAACTCCTGGCTTCCCTGTGAGCCCCCAGAGGTGACGGAGGTTTTGGCGGGAAGTCCCGAGGAGCCGAGCAAGAGGAAGCAGGCTCGGGCCTGGGCCTTCGCGAGCCAGCGCCGAGGGGAACTGGGCCGCACTGAAAGCTGCCCGGCTGGCAAGAGTGGCCGAAGAAGCCGCCGCCGCCCCTTTACGCTATTTGCCTCTCTTCTTCACTGAGGGAGACGGAGGAGGGGGGAAAGAGGCCTTTGCCAGGACCAAAGATGGCGGCGGCCGCGAGAAGGGTAGGTCGGCTGGTCCCGCGGTTGCCCGCAACCAGCATGGCGGCGCCGGCTTCCTGCGTGCCCGTCTCGCCGCGCGGACTCCGCCCCGCCCGCCGCCGCCTCAGCCTGAGCAGCAGCAGCAGCAAGAGGAGGAGGAGCAGCTCCGGCTCCTGCACGGCTGTGCCGCCGGTGAAGCTCCCAGGCGCGGAGGCTGGGCTGCGGCGGCGGGGATGAGGCGGTGGTAGGCCCGGGGGGAGAGGGCGCCATGTCGGGCCGGGCGAGTGGCGCTGCGGCGGTGGCGGCCCCGGTGCTGCCCGCCGCCGCTTCGCCGGTGGTGGTGGCGGCGGCGGCCAAGGAGAAGCGCTCCTTCAGCAAGCGGCTGCTCTTCCGGGGCCGGGTGGGCGGCGGCGGCGGGTCCGGCACTGGGGGCTCGGGCTCCTCCTCCTCCAGGTCGCTGGGCGGATTCATGAGCCGCGTGCTGAAGACGCTCTCGACGCTCTCCCACCTGGGCACCGAGCACGGGCCCGCCGCCACCACCGCCCGCCACGGACACCCCCCCGGCGGCAGCAGCAGCCTGGGCCGCTGCTTCCAGCCCAGCCCGGAGCCCGAGCCGCCGCCTCCCCCGTCGCCGCCGCCGCCTCCGCAGCCTCCCGCGACCCAGGAGCTGATCTCGCCGCCGCCACCGCCGCCGGGCTCCTCGGCGGGGTCGCTGCTGCTACCGGCCGTGCCCGGCGTGGCGGGGCTGCGCAACCACGGCAACACGTGCTTCATGAACGCCATCCTGCAGTGCCTCAGCAACACCGAGCTCTTCGCCGAGTACCTCGCCCTCGAGCAGTACCGCGCCGCCAACGCCGCAGAAGCCGGGGACGGAGGCAGAGGCGCCGGCGGAGAGGAGGAGGAGGAAGAGGAGGGCGGCGGCGGCGAGAGGGACGTGCCAGCCGTGGCTCCCGCCCGCCCGCCGGAGCCCGCCCCGGACAACTGCAAGGGCGAGGTGACGGAGCAGCTGTCGCACCTAGTGCGGGCCCTCTGGACGCTCGAGTATACGCCGCAGCACAGCCGGGAGTTCAAGGTGAGGGGCTCTCCCTCTCCTCTGCCGGCTCCTAGCAGCCATTCGGCAGGGGAAGCATCTAATCTGGCCAGGGTCCCCTGTTCAGAGGCACCAAGAGCAGCAGCAGGGCGGGTGCATCAAGACCTGCAGCACCTAAAAATAATCATCAGATGTCCTGCTTGCTTGGAAGGCTGTGACCTGGGTACTCTTGGCAAAGGTGTCATTCCCTTGGGTTAGACCTGACATTTAGACTGTAAGCTCTTTGGGGCAGGGAGGTGCATTGGTTGTTCTTAGGAAGCTCCCTCACTGGCATCATGGCAGTGTGTTAATGATTTGTGGTGGCTTCCAGAGGTGGTGTATTCCAACTTCACAGGTACAGGTGCTGAGATCTGGCGGTGGAAAAGTGATACCTTTGTTTAATTCCTAGTTCAAGTCATCCCCTTGTGCAACTAAAGATGCCTCTATCAGTACTTGGCATAGATGATTTTTTTCTTTCTACGTATAGGCTGGCTGAAAGGAAACCTCTGAGCAGATGCAGAGTGTCATTTGTGATAACTGTAGATTCCCTTCTGTTCTAGGAGTGAACTCTGAGGAGTCTTGTCTCATATTAAGATCTGCAGTGAATGAAGGATGGCAGAAAATACCTGCTTAGAATCTCCTTCAGGTGTTATCTGCAATTCTTATTGAGTGAGATGAGAGAAACAGTTCCGTTGACATCATTTAAATATGTTACTTGTTGGATCAACTTCTATAGGAGGGTATAAAGTTTGGAGTTGCACAGAGAATTCTGTCAGACCGAACAGAGGAGGGGCTATTTCCTAGGATCATAAGAGTTGGACTCCCACCTGGTTTAGTTCAGGAATCTTCACCATTCCTGGCATATGGGTGGCCATCCACTGCTTAAATGCCTCAAGTGCGGGGGAACCCACCAGCACTACCTGTGCTGCTCCCCAACAGCCTTTTGTGTTGTAATATTTCTTTTAATGCTCAGTCAAAATTTGCTTCCTTGCAGTTTCTACCCATCATTTCTAATCCCGCTCTATAGAGCAACAAAGAATGAGTTTGCTCCATCTTCTTCATGGCAGAATGTTAGCACTGGTATGATTCTTAGTTAAACACACATGTTTCTGGTAGTTCATAGATAGTAGCCCTGATTCCCTGTCTGCATAGGAACATTGGAAGCAGCCCAACGCTGAATTAGGTTATTGGTTCATCTCAGTATTGTCTACACTGACTGGCAGTGGCTCTTCTGGGTCTAAGGCAGGAGATGGTTCTCAGCCCTACCTGGAGATGCTGGGGGTTGAACTGAAGAGGCCCTTCTGCATGCTAACCAGCTGCTCTACCACCTAGCTACAACCTTTCCCCAGTGGCACAGCATCCTCTGCAGGCTTTGGTCTTGCTGTGTAGAGAGATGTGACTAGTGAGTTAGTTTATGCCCAAGATCCCCAAAAACTTGTGTGGAAAGATAAGTGTGGTGTGTGTATCAGAGAGAAAGAGACATACATGCTAGTCAGTACTCCTGGCTTATGAATAACACCTGAACAATGATGCTTCACAGTTGACTCTGATCATATCAAGACCCTGCCTATGACTGTGATGCCTACTCTGCCTCATTTTAATATTGGGTGATGGAAAAACTGCAACTTCACACAGTTCTGTTGTCAATTGGTTTATTGTGGGGTTTTTTGAGGCAAAGCTGGTGGCTGCCTTGTTAACTCAAATTGGAGACAAGTAATTGCATAGGAACAATTGATCTAGTCTTGTTTCCTATTTACCTAGATGACAAGCAGTCCTAAGCATGCCTGCTCAGAAGTAAACCCTATTTAATTCAATGTGGCATACTCTTAGTCAAGTGGGGTTAGGAGTTCAGCCTTAGTTAGCAAAGTTCTGGGTTGGAAAATGGTTGGGCTTGGTCAACAGATTAGTCATTTATTTTCTCTTGATTTTTTTTTCCAGGGTGGGGGGCTGCTCTTCCACTTTGTACCCTCTGGTCATGGATGAGGCTTCCTGGCTGCTCAACAAGGGCTGCTTAGAATGGACCTTGCTTCCAGGGTACTGTTTGTTTATGATTTGGTGCTTGGGACAATGAGGAGATTGTTCATTGCTTGTTTTTAATGATTGGATCGGGAGAATATGGAACACTTTTCAGCAGAGCTGCTTCTCTTTTAATCTCATGATGTTGGAAAACAAGTGGGGTGCCAGGTTTCAGGAGGCCACCCGCTGTTTACAAGAGCCAAGAGTCTACTGTTGTGTGCAAGAAAAGAGGGAGTCCGGGTTTGTCCCTAGCAAACTATGAGGTCAAATTGCCATAAACAGTGGATCTAGTGCAGCTATACTGGTTCAAGCTCAACAAGGCCTGTTAATGTTCTCAGTGGATTGCTGAGATTTTGAAAAGGGCGTAACTGTTTGTGTGATATTTGCCATTTCTTGGAGTGAATTGATTCAGTCTTGTTTCAGCAATTTTGATCACCGGTGGAAGAGACTTCTTAAATTATTATTCTAACATTTGTTCTAATTGTTTCAAAAACAACTTTGATCATGTTGTATTTCAGATTTTTCCTTAGAAAGTATGTTTATTTGTTGTTGCCAGCATTAAAAGTCACAGAAGCAGAGTTTTTGCACTTTCTAGGCACTAGTAGTCGAAATACTTGCACAGATCCCATATGGGGGAGGAGAACAACTGTGAAATTAATAAAAGAGGAGGAAACAATGCTGGTTCATTGTGGGCAATGCCTTTATTAAGACCAGCCAAAATGTCATAAAATAGTGATCATGCTATTAAGGGATTAATTACTCTCTACTTCTCGGTACACACGCAAGAGTACTTGTCAATACCTTTTTGCTTGAAGATTTATTTGAATAGGTTTGAACATTGAATATTTCCTCCACTTAGTGTGTGCCCTACCTGCCTACCAGGGATGGGACATAATGTGTTTCTTAGGCAGTTCATGGGTGCAGCCGTTGCAGCATGGATATTGTAACATGGCTCACTCTGCCTACAGAATGGCTGCAGGTATCAGCCAATGACCATTGGGATTATTTATGGTTCTTGCCAGGATGCTCTGGGACCTACTGTGTTATTGGGCAGGCTGTTAAATAAACTGTGTTAAGGGCTCAAGCTGGCCAGTTCCTCCCCTCTTCCACCCTTTCCCTTTTAGCTGACACCATTGACATTCTGTGGCTCAGCTGCCCTCAGCTTTCCGAAGGTCCTGGAAGCTCATTGCGCCCTGTTGCTTTATTCTTATAAAACTAATACGCTGCAGTTATCCTCCTGAGTATGAAGGAACCATTACCTTGTTTTTCTTCCAAACTGGTGGGCATGGAAATAACCATCCCGGTCAGATTTAAACAAAACCCACAGATTTCTATCCAAACTGTTCCTTCCTGAAGCTTTAGAATGGTGCCAAATTTGACTTGGTGTTTTGAGCAGGAATGGTGACTGTTGTTGCCTGGGGAAGAGATAGTTGCTGCTTAGAGCCTGGTGACAACTTAAAGGCTAACATGTTTATTGTAGCCTAAGCTGGTGAAGTGGGCTTTCTGCTTGGTTTCTAAGGAGCCACAAAAGAGTTTGGGATGTTGGCTGCAGCAGACCAGCATGGCTGCTACTCTGGAAACAGCTGTTCAGAGGCTTCACCTTCATGTGATGCTTTACTTTCTTAGGATCTTCCTGCTGAAGACGGGGAGCAATTTATTCTCGGAAACTGAACTGAAAGGCAGTTTCTAACCATAAAGGATGGATGAGTGGATGAATGAATAAATAGAGAGGAAAAAAGAGGAAACTGATCTTACTTTATCTCGGGGGAAATAATATGTCTGGTTTTTCTCCAAAGAGCTGAAACATGGCAGTCATGCTACTAGCCAGGGTGGATAAAAATAATTTCAAAAAAAGTGATAAGATTTTTTCCTTGATAAGCATTTCCCTTTTAAGAATACCCTAATGTAAAATCAAATGTAAATGTAATGTAGACTCAGCTTGTGACACTTAAGAAACTTCATCAAATCTGCTTGTAAAGAAAGAACTGGGAGGTGATAGATACCCTTGTTGGTCATTGTGCAGCACAATTGTTCATGCACTTATTAAGGCTTGATTAAAGCTCAGCAGGAAAGCCAGCCTCAGCCTGTGGGCTAGTGCTAGCTGTCTTGGCACTGAAGTGAATCTTTTGTCATTTTCTGTAATTCTGGGTTTCCAGTTTTTGGAGGGGGACAGCAAAGGGACTATTTCATTTGGAGCAGTTTTGTTACCATAGATTCTATGGTGTCTGTGTTATGTTTATTGTAGCAACTTTGAATATTTAGTGGAGCTTTTAAACTATTAAATACCGTTCACCAGGTCAGAAACTCAACTGGGCATTTGCTGTATCAATGGTGATAGGTCTTATGCAGGGTCCCCACTGGTTTGCTGAAGCTGCATCACAGAAATAGTTACTTCGCTTGAACCAAATGCATGAGGAGCAGATGGATGAGAAGAGGTTCATGGCACTGTGAACTTTAAAACTCTTTAAGGTCTTTGTGGCTACAGAGTATTGGCACATTGAGGCCCGTTATGTGCTCCAGTCAGTGGCTGGATGCTCGACCACTGCTTTCTTCTCTTTTTGAGGAAGCTGGTTGCCTGTAGTGGTGGAATTTTGCCACTTCCACCTTGAGCAGTTGGTTGTGGGGTGCTTTCCTTCCCAGGAGACAGCGACTGTAGCTGTGGTTGGGAGGTACATTCTTTCCACACTTCCTTGCCTGCCGGCCTCCTCACTCATGCTGCTGCCCCCCTCCTGCTAGTGTTCCCCACCAGGAGGAGGAGGAGATGGCTTCAGTGATTACATGGTGAGCCTGGCGGGCTTTAGCACATACCAACATTATATTTCTTCACATGTTACACAACTGCAAGTACATCAGGAAACAGAGCTAGAAGCATGGTTTTAGTACTGGGCCTTGTTACCATAGACCTGTGTGTCTCTTACATGTCCTTTTCATTTTGTGCTGTTCCCCTTGAGAGAAAGAGGGAGGAGAGGATGTGAAGTCCTCCTTGC